GAGGGGTGGAGGCATTTGGGAATTCTTTCCAATGAGCATAAACCAGAGAAAAGCTATCACTAGAGGTGATTCCTGCACTTTAATCGCCCTGCCATGTGGAAGAGGAGTTTATGCAGAATCTAGGAGATAGGGGTGGGGTGGCTTTCTGATGGATCCAGGGATGTTAGGCAGTCTGGCAAAGGGAGCCACATTAGCACGAGAGGTTGTAACAAACTAAGGAAGTGGTGAGTGGCTTGTAGTTGGTGCCAGGTGGAGGAGGAGGTCTGCAGACAGGGTAGGGGGACGGGCCTGGGGTTCAGTTTACCAGGTCACCCCAGCAAGCTCCAGGTGTTAATGGACTCTAATGATCAGACTGAGGGTACAGATTTCCATAGATGTTTTTTAATGATACCGATCACTAAATTCCTGCAAGTTTGAGGGCAGCGTGCCTTCTAGTAGTAAGTGAGATTGTCTTATGTTACAAGACCTGATAGATCTATGTCTTTGCAAATTTAACGTGAAATTAGTACAAGTTGCATACTACTTGAATTTTAAAACATTTTAAAACTTTTGAGTTTAATCCAATGAAATTCATACACAAAATGCATAGCCTACGGACTAGGAAATATCAGCGACTTTATGAAGAGTTGGGAGGCTGCTGAGAGCACCCAGAACTTCTTAAAGTGCTTGAATCTAGGACTCTTTAGTGGTCCTCCTCACTCCCTGCATAGGAACTCCATCATGTTTCATGCTCCATAATTTTGCACAGCATTCTAGAAACATCTCAAGGGTTCCAGAGTCTTCCAAGGGCCCCACTTATGCAACCCTGCTGTGCACCAAGGTTGCTAGTCCATCCACAGGCAGCTTTGAGATCCTCACTACACATCTGTATTCTTGAGCCAGGTCTGCCTGGTGCCATATGCACATTTTTAATTGATCAAATGATTTTACCCAGCTTTTCTAAAATGTCATTTACTCAGATATAACAACTAGTAGATTTTATAATATGTAATAAAAAGGAAGTAGTACCAGAAAGTCCTGCACATCTTGTTTCTCCTGCTGGAATTTCTGAATAGTCTTTTGTTTGTTTGTTTTGTTCTGTGTTGTTTTTCAAATTTGATGTTGAAAACATGATACCCAAATCCTTCAAGGAACTAATCCTGAGAAAATGACCTCTCTAGAAGCTTCCTAAAGCCAAATCAACAATTCCCATGTATCCTTTCCACTAGTGACTGTTGCCTAGTTTACAGGTCTTAGGGATCGTCTTAAAGTCAGCCTTAGTTATTAAGATTTTTTTGTAAATAAAATGCACAGGTCTTGGAGGATGAGGGACATGAATGTTGGATTGGAATCACTCTTTCATGGAGTGATGATGAATGCAGGTGGGGAAAAAAAAAGAGCAGCAAGAAGTTACAGCAGCCATAGCGGACGACCAAACATGGAAATTGCATTTCCTCTTGGAGTGGACCTTGTATTGTGTCACTGGGGACAATGGAAATAGAAGCCAGAAATCCGAGTTTATTTTGAGAATGCTGTGGAACAGTTGTCCACTGTGAGATGATTGTGTTAGGCAGCACTGGGGAAGTCCTGGAGCTACACTAATACTCTGACCTCCCCCCGACCATTGTATCCCCCCATTCCCCAGGGAGCACAGGCTTCCTTGGATGATGCCATATATATGTGTTCATATTCCAGTCGGATTCTCTCCCAACCTCAAAATAATCAGTAGGAGCAGAGCGAAGCAGATGGCACAAGCCTTCTTTGGCATACTGGCAAATCTGTATCACTCATTCTGTATTTTTAGAATCAAGGAAATTTATGTTCTGAGATGGTTTGGGGGGAAAGTGTACTATCTTCACAGAGTGACAGGTGTTGAGATAGTACTGCGCTGGAGAGGCAATTGAAATCTGTGTGTCAGGTCACAGAACAGTATGACTCAGAAGCATCGCTTTGTCAGCTCTCCCTTGGGACTGCTGGTAATTTGCCAGATAATGGAAGGTAATCATGAGTCACTTTATAGAATATGGACAGAAAGTGCATCATGTTTCAGCCCAAGATTGGACTAATCAGCATACAGCCAGGACTGATCAAGTGCATTTGTAAAATGTCTTCTTAAATCACAACCAGTTTCTAGGTCCAGCTCATTTCCATATATATCAGGTGAATAACCCAAAAGAGGAAATGGAGATCTAGAAAATAGCTACCATAAGGAAGCTAGAAATGGCTCTCGGGAATATTTCCACTCTGTCTGTAAAAACAAGTGACATCAGAGTCCTCCTGTGCTCAGGAAAACACTGAGGGTGAATCAATAGCCCTGCCAACTTCAGAGGAATTCCTAATAAACTCAGAATCTGCCTGTGTCATCCAGAATTGCAACCCTTGCTGTATGTGACAATGTTAAGCCAAACCTTGTTTCTAAGCACATATGTTCTTGTAGCTGTTTGATATACCTCATTTCCATCACAGAAAATTCTATTGGCCATCCGTGTCATTTCTCAAAGCACAAATCAGGAAGCACACTTTTACTGAAATAAAAATTTTAAAGTGTAGATGCAGAAAATTGGCAAGTAGGTGACAGAGACAAAGCCCATCCCACCCTCAGTTCCTTTTCCAGAGTGAAGAGTGCTATTTTGAGTTCAGCAACAAAGAGAAGAGGTGGAAAGGATGCATTTCAAACTTATGAAATGAATGGGTGTAGTTTATAGCTGGGCCAGTATTGTGGCCAGACTTTGGCTGGATGAGAAGTAGGACAGATCATGAGATCTGGCAGTACAAACTTGGCAAGCACCATAGAATTCCTAGAAGGAGCTTTCGATTGTGGCCAGGGTTGTTGGGGCTGCCTCAAGGTAGGGCTTAGACATAAACTGGAGTACTGGAGGCAATCTGTGTGGGAAGGGTTTGGGCAGAGCCAGAACAGGAGCCCAAAGGAGGAAGGTCATGCACATAGCTAGAATCTAAAATACCAGAAAAGACACCGGGAGCCGTGAGAACTGAGGAGTTAGCGTGCTCGTGGCTTTGGATCAGTGCCAGACCTCTGGGTCGAAGAGCTCATGTCAGCTTAAAAGATGCCAAGCGGGTGAGGCAAGAACCAGAGCGGTATTTTGTTTGCTGGTGCTTCAGACTCTGACCAGATACAACACACAATTGAGACAGGAGATGAGGAATTCAGTGCCTTTGTAGCCATTTTGTGAATTAAGAAAGGATTCTGTTTGTCGTTGCACATATGATTCTTTAAAAATGCATGAATTATTATTACAATAAAATTTCATCTAGTTAGACTCCAGATTTATAATCTGAAAGCAACTGAAAAGGTGAATGAAAATTAACCCTCAACAAGAGCCAGGCTTGGCAGTAAGTGAATGATGGTAGGGAACAAAGCTTTAAGAAATGTGCTTGATCAGTGTACCATGGGTGCCTTGCTTCCTTCACAAATCAGAAAAGGCTGGCCTACAATTCAAAGCTTTTTTTTTTTTTTAACATATGATACTGGTTGAGTATCTATTATTTTTGTTTGGAAATGGAAATGGTTCAGATTTTGGAATATTTGCAAATACTTAATGTTTCTTATACATGTAGCCTGATGGTCACGTTATATATCTTTTTAGTGCACCTGCATTTAGGTGGCAACTTGTCATATGAGGTCGGGTGTGGAATTTTCCACTTGTGTCTTCATGTTAGCATTAATAACACTGTCAATTTTGTAGCATTTCAGATTTCCTATTTTCTTACTTGAAATGCTTTGCTTTTATTCTAAGTATTGGCTCTTGAAAAGTTCATGTCACTCACCTGAGAAAAGCACAGGATTGTAATGATACAGAGTTCCAGCACATTGTTCATAATATTGCCTCAGGCACGGATCACTCCTCAAAGTAGCAAGGAGAGGCTACTTTTGTGGTAACTGCGGGTTGGAAGCGTGATAGCAGTTTGGGTTTGAGATGAGCTGGAGGCAGCAGGTCTCCCTCTTAAAAGTGGCCTACCAACTTTTGTTGCACTGACCTTACACGTTGGGGCAAGGGCTTGAGCAAACGTACCCTGACTAAATGGGAAAGGATGAGTATGGATGGTGCCTGTGCATGTGAGCGAAGCCTGAGATTTTGCCTGAGCCATCAGCTTTATTTTCCAGAACAGTTTTTGCCTCTGCCGAGGGCATCGGTGCCACTGGAATAGCTTTACTTGCCTTTTGTACGTATTGATCCTTGTGCATAGTGATCTTATAAACAAATTAAGTTAGGTCTATACAAATGATTTCTTCTCATCCTCTGGAAGTTTAAACAGGTGTGAGTAACAACTTATGCTAACAGCCAAGTGGAGAGGAAAAGCCATGGTTTGAATAAGTGGGGGTGATTTTTGCTTATGTCCCAGAGAAAAATGCACTAAGGGATGGGTATTGAGTGTTTGTGTGTGTGTATAATCTTCGAATTAGTCATCTGAACTGCACACTGACCTGCAACCATAGTTTGAAGTAGATAATAGGGACTTTGTGGGAAGAACTATTCTTATCACAAAGGGGAGACCATCAGAATACAGTGCGTGCTTGACACAGTTGCACTCAGGAGTGGTGCAGGTGGGCGGATTTACACGCAGAAGGACTCTGAGAGCACCCAGGAGAAAGGAAGAATGGTGCTGCAGGAAGAGCTCTTTAGCAGACATGTTGGTTCTCAAGTGGCACAGGAGGGAAAGCATTGTTTGCAAATGACTAATGCCAGAATCTTCTCCCTGCAGACAGTCCAGTGACCCAGGACGTGCCCCAGTGCTCACGCTGGTGATACGAATGACCTTTCTGTTCCTGACTCTCACCTGTGCTTTTGACTTCGTGCACCAAGCTTGAAACTGCATTCAATTGGGATGAGGTAAAGGGAGGTAGAGCCCAGCCCACTGTGCTGACTGTGCTGATTGTACCCTGGTCTGAGGTCCAGCTGCAGGGATCTTGCTGATGCCTCAGCCAGCCTCCTTCCACTTGTGCTTAATGGCACAGTATTTAGTGAACACATCAGAAAAGGAAAGTGTGGGAGGTAAAACCCATGGCCATGTTCCCCTGGCAGTTACGTCTCAATGCGTTCCTCATCCTGGGGAAGTTGACTATCATAATTCTTCTTACTCTAGGGAGCGGCTGTTCAAGTGCTTGCAGACTGACTGTGGCAAAGCCTTTGTTTCCAAATATAAACTGATGAGGTGAGCAGCTTTACAAAGGGGATGCACTTCCCAACCCCCCGTACTTTGAAATGGGTTTTCCAGCCTTAAGAACACTCACTGGGGGGATGGGTGCAAGATGTGGATGCATTTTAGCCTTTTAGGGATGTGGCAGAGCTGTGTCTTCAGTGATTATGATGGTTTGCTGTGCAATGTCAGTTCATTCCTTCCACAAATACATCTCATGGCTTACAGTACTCCTGGCCTAAGAACACAGGACACGTAGTCTTGCTGGCAAAACCTAAATGCATCCTCACTCAGTGCTTTGGCTGAGCTGTGCAGATGGAGGCAGGTGTTCCTCAATGCCTGATGATAGCTGGGAAGGCTGCTCAGAAGGGGACAGTCATAACCTGTGAGAAACAATGAGCAGGAATAAGGCAGAAAAAAGGTTCTGGGGAAACCAAAGCCTTGTCTTTTAGGTACTTGTATGTTGAGGGGATCCTGGAGGAGGAAGGGGGACGGTTTGAGGCCAAGAAGGTGAGAAGGAATGAACTCTAAAGATATAGCTTTCAGGTTGTTCACATATAAATGCAGGGTGATGATCAAAAGTAATGAGCATGACTTGCCATTTCAGTGGTGCTAATATGGACCATGTTATCATTAAATCTTGAATGCCATTGGAGGAAGGCACTTGAAAGAGTTGAAAACAAGGCCTAAATTATGTTCTTGGCCCCTAAGAATATGAATTTATAAATTATAGGTTGATTTTCAAGGGAACTTATAAACGCTTAATTATCCTAAACTTCATCTGTCTTATCCATAGGATTCTGTAGCTCTCATAAATAGAAGTCCTGAGTGCCTACCATGAACACCCTTTTTTTTTTAATTACAAAGGATCCTGGTCTTGCATCAAGCTGCTTATGTACACACGCAGCAAGTACCCTGTAGTTATATGGGAAAAGATGGAAACACATAGGGAAGATAAATATTTAAAAGAGACAGTGGAACTAACAGATTAGAGTAGAATCGGTTTGGTTTGCTGTGGTAAACCACATTGAATAAGATAGGTAATACGCATGAGGCGGTTATTCAAAGGAAATGACTTGTCCAAGTAAAGGGGTGAGAAGGGAAAGCAGTGTACTTGATGCCAGAACCACAGTCCCTGCCGTAGCCTTCAGTGTTTCTCACCTCTGACCTGAGCAGTGGTCTCCTAAAGGAACAGAGGTTGCCAGCATGCCATCAGAAAAGCAAGCAGCACTCCCTTTCCATTTCCCAACAATTGTGACATGAGCTGCAAAGTCAGGTTGAAGGAGAAAAGTTACATGCTTAACCAGAAGAGAGAACATCGGACCAAAAGGCAAACAGTGAAGCAAGTAAGATACAGACATCCAAGTGCCAGGCAGATTGAAGTCCATGCTCAGACGCTCTGATGAATTCTAAGGGCCCTGACATGAGCCAGTTGACTCCCAAAGACAGTGGCCTCCTACCATGAGTGGTCTCATGAGTTTGGAGGGAAGAGGATGAAGATGAGTTGCTGGAGTAATTTAATTTACACAACAAATTTTCTAGATGGGAACTGTTGAAGGCATATGTAGAAGAAAAATTAAACGGGAAGAGAACTAGATGCTGTGCAAAGGAAAGAGTCAAATTTAGAGGGAAGGAAACAGCTGAAATTTGAAAGTTTTTTTTTTTTTTAAACCTTCAAGGACTGTGTCAACCCATGCACACTCCTGGTAGTACAGGAGCAGGGAATAAAAGAGTGGATAGGAAGTGTCAAGTTTAAAGTTGTTAACCTGGGTACTGATCTGCTCATGGCTTATTAAGTGAAGTCAAATTGGATTAAGACCATCAACAAGAAAGGAGGGGGGAAAACCGGAAGAGAAGATTCAGGACTCTCAGGTCCTAATCATTAGCAATGGGCCAAAGAAGAGAAGTTTGAATGCCAGGTTTTCAAGCCAACTCTGTGTCCCCATCCGCTTGTATTAATCTGTGCTATAAATGTGGATATTCTGTGGAATAGTATGGCTGTTTGCCTGCTAATAACTCTTCAGCAACCTCTGAACAGATTCTAAATTTGACAATGCAGAGGTAGAGCATATTTTAGGTAGGTCTGATGCGTCTTCCATTAGTTCCTTTACTCAGTACCCACCATGTTATATGCATGCCCAGCTGTAGTGGTCTGGGGAGAGAGAACCATTTCTTGTTTTTTAAATAACTGAAAGCTCTTCTTTGTAAAGGGAAACAGGAAGGAGTTAGAGAATTTCACTTTCTTTTTTAAGAAAGCAGTCTGATTTTGGTCAGCTTTATGTTTTTTTTAACTGGTTTCCAGTGTGTCCATCAGTGATGACTGCCTCTGTTTTCTAAACAGTAGCTACTGGAAACCCTTTACCCAATTATCCCACCTCTAGAGAAGGGGAACGGCTGGAGCAGATAGAGTTCAAGGGTGAAAGGTGTAGGTATACATGTGACTTACTGCCTGAACAAGACCTTTTGTTGTTACAAAATGAGTTGTTAGAAATTCCTCTGTATCCAGAGTCACAGTTGTCAGTAGGATAAGCTTTAGCTTCTGAGATAAAATACCTAAGGAAATACACACAGTACGTGTTGTCTGAACCCTTTTCAAGTTGAAGAGTGTTGAACTCACATCACTGCTGTTTGTGTTTTAAACTGGGTCCAGTTAAACCCATCTATGGACTGAACTGTCCCAGGTGACAGAGACCTCCCAAGAATTGCATCTGAAAGAGTGATACCCACTTAATCCCTCCCCACCCCCTCAAAAGTTTTTATGATCACATTTTTAATATGTGTACTTGCTTGGAAATAATGTTAGAAAATATGTTCTAAATATTTTTTATTATAGATTGTAAAACTGCCTTAAGCCCTTAGAAATGCTTAGTTTTTCGATTACGGTTGTTTCAATGTATTTGGAAAAATTTAGAAAAGTAACTCAATGGAAAGTTAGACAAAACCCACAGAAAATGTCGAACCTTTCTTCAGCTCTTAAAGCAGTCTCTTGCATGGTTTTCCCTTCTGCTAGGCACATGGCTACCCACTCGCCCCAAAAGACTCATCAGTGCAATTACTGCGAGAAGACGTTCAACCGGAAAGACCACCTGAAAAACCACCTGCAGACCCACAACCCCAACAAAAGGGCCTTTGTGTGCGAGGAATGTGGGAAGAAGTACCACACCGCGCTGGGCTACAAGAGGCACATGGCGCTCCATGCTGCCAACAGTGGCGACCTCACCTGTGGGGTCTGTTCACTGGAGCTGGAGAGCACCGAGCTGCTGCTCACCCACCTCAAGTCCCATTCTGAAGAGAAGCCGCCCAGCACAGCCCGCGAGAAGAAGCACCGGTGCGAGCACTGTGAGCGATGCTTCTACACCCGGAAGGATGTGCGTCGCCACCTGGTGGTCCATACAGGATGCAAGGACTTCCTGTGCCAGTTCTGTGCCCAGAGATTCGGGCGCAAAGACCACCTCACCCGCCATACCAAGAAAACACACCAGCAAGAGCTGATGAGGGAGAGTCTGCAGGGTGCAGAGTTTCTGGGCACTTTCCACCCTATGGCGCCTGCCTTTCAGCTGCAGGCTGCTGCCCTGCCTCCTTTCCCCATAGGAGCGCCAGGTCCAAATGGGTTTGTGGGTGGTATGCCGGCTGAGATTCATGGCTTTACCTTCGGCCCCCCAGAGCCATCCGTTCAGCCAATGCCACAGTTGCCAGAGCCCTTTATGGCCATGCACCCTTCTGTTGCCCCGGGCTCTCCACCTCCAGGCTTTCAGAATCACAAGTATGGTGCTGGTCCTACCTCTTACCCACCACTTGCAAACATGCCCCTCAAAGCAGATACTAAGGGGTTTTGCAGTGTCAATATGTATGAGGAATTGCCTCTGCAAGAGCCTCAGTCACCTCCCAAGTTCAACCCAGGTTTTGATATGATGAAGGCAGGTCTACCAAAAATCAACCTGCCCAAGGAGCTGCCTCCAGATACTGTGAACCTAGCAATTTCTGCCTCTTTGGATATTTCCACTCTGTTGAGCTTCTGGCAGCTCCCTCCACCGCCACCACCACCACCTCCACCCCCACCCCCTCCTCCTCCTCCTCCTCCTCCTCCCCCTCCTCCCCAAAATGCCTTTGGGAATAACACTCTCACCCTGGCACCTGGGGAACCTGTACCCCATAGACTGACCTGTTTGGAGCAGCAGCAGCCGCCGCTGCCGCTGCCGCTGCTGCCGCCACAGCAGCAGCAGCAGCAGCAGCAGCAGCAGCAGCAGCAGCAGCAGCAACAGCAGCAGGAGACCCCAACAGCTGTGGGCACCGTGAATCTGGGCCAGTTCCCTCTGCCACCGATCCCCCATGTTTTCACGGCTGGCACCACCACTGCTATCCTGCCGCATTTTCATCATGCATTCAGATAACTTGGTTATTTGAAAGCATGGTTTTTTGAATTCTGGAGGAGGTTTTAGCAAGCATTTTGACCATGAGTTATAATACAGAAAAAAAACAAAAAATGATTTGGGAAAAATGGGACAGGGAATATGACTTATTCCTTGATGAGTAGCTTGAGAAAAGAATTCTGAAACTGCATGTATTGTGCCAAACTGCCCTGCATATTCATGCTCTGTACTGCCTTGAATGGACGTGTATAGTTTAATAGAACTGCAAGCATTGTTATAACCAACATCCATAACGATGGCTGCTACATGTATACCCCTGTTTATCATACTGAATTGAACCGCAGACCGCGATCATCATCATGCTCACGAGATGACTTTTGTGGCATAGTAAGGGGACTATGGGAAGGTTTGCAAGTTTCTGCAAGTCAGAATTTTTTAAAAGAAGAAAATTCCCTTTGTGCGTTACATCTAGGCACGTATTTCTTTTCAGGGATTTTTTTCTACCTTCAAGGTTGGGCATTGTTTAATTACAATCATCATAGCCCGCCTGTAGTTTTACAGAAATAATTCCTTGTGGAGCAATAGAGTGCTCTATTTAAAAAACAAACATTTAAAATGTAGTTTGAATATTTTCCATATGATGCTACATTATGAGTTATCACTTCATTTATCCTAAAGACTGAACTGATTGTGTCAGCTGCATCTGACAGAAAAACATCACTGTGTAGCCAAACTGAGTGGTCATCTAATCAAAGCATCAATCAAAGTTTTGCTGACTTTAATACTGATTATATTTTTAACAGAATTTAAAACTATTACTGGAATTAAAAAATATATATATATATTTCACAAGAATTTACTTCGCTTTATCTAGCTTAAACTGCTACTCAAACTGCTTAAGTTCATAAGTATTGTTTGTAATCACCAGTGCATTTGCAATCACCAGTGCATAAATGAATTTGTAATCACCAGTACATGCGTGCATTTGTAATCCATCAGATTAAGTTCTTACTAGCTTTTATTCAACGACAATTACATTTTACAGTGTAATGATACCTGAATTCTATCTCTTCAATATCTTATCAATGAGTTTCTAAAATGTAAAACCTAACCTTTTTTAAAGTTTTTTTTGCCTTTCATGTTTAGCAACTTCCCTCTCCATAAACATACCTTACATATATCTTACATATAATAAACTTTACAAATCTTGCAATATGGTTTGATTTTTGATGAATCTACGCTGGCGTCGGTGAGAACTACACCTTGATCATTCGTGTTCCAGGCTCCCTCACGCCCCCTCCTGGTCATCACTTTCCCCACGGAATCCACTGTTCTGATCTCTACTCAACATCTATTACACATTTTACCTTTTGGGAGTACAATAATTATGATTTAAGGTAGATGCTTCTATATTAATTCACAGCTCTAAGAACTTAAAATACTGTGTACTATTCTGAATCCTTCTCAAAGGATCTGTGGTTTATTTCCTCTGTCTAGGTCAGAATACTGGTCGCTGGAGTTTAACTGACTCTGGTCTGCCATGATCCAGTTTTATGACAACAGTATTTACCATTACTTTCAAGCACAAATTAGAAAATGAAGCATTACTGGGATTTCTTCATAAAGTCTGCTGGCCCTTAAGTCTAATAGACATGTGTATTTTTGTCTTACTTCTAATTAGATTGGATGTGGGCAGAGAAAAGGGACACCTTGAGTTTGCTTGCTTAACTGAGAAGCCAGTTGGATAAATGTGAGAAACCCTGATCAGGACCAAACAAGGTATACTGCTGTCCAGGGCTGGGCTGTAGCATGAGGAACTAGCATCATGAGGGTAATGCAGCAGCAGCAATGCACTGCTCTGGGATGTCCAAGTCACCCCCATTTCTCTGTCACGTAGGCATCATGGCAGAGCAGAGTAGCAGCCCACGGCAGCGGAAGCCTCCCAAAGATGTATTTACCCTCCCTAAATACTCACGTGACTTCAGGCAGCTTGCAGCACACACACCTGATTTTCCTAAGCAGGAAATGTGGCATTTGGCATTTTGTGTCTGGGATATAGATCATAGAAGTTTCAGGTGTCTGCTGCATCCCAACAGTTAGTGTGGAATTCTCCTTAAATTCAAGACCAGAAACAAAAATGGCCTCATTGTCCTAATTAAAATTCCCAGACTCAGCATGCGCCACATTGTGACCCTGGGAATGATATTGGGTGGCCTTTCCCCATCCTCGGTTACTGGGATGGTTGGGAAGCTGGGTATGGCCTGTCCCCTTGTCTCTCCCCTCCCCCAAGAAATGGAAAGAAGAAATAGAGGTTGGAACCAATGATCACACCCACTTCTCCCTAACCCTGGATCCTTCCCACCCTGATCTACTACATAACCATCATGTAAAATAATTTTTTAAATTTCCTGACCTTAAAAAGTTCTGACATACAAAAATATAATGAACTACAAAATGAAGTTTGCTGACCTTGACTGCAAAGAAGCAGCCAGGTGAGTCACCTTCCTATGGCACTAAGTTCCAGTGGCACTAGAATGAACACTTGACTTCTGACTTACTCATGTTGAAGCAGAGCATTCTTCCCAGAGGATGGGAAATATTTTTATGCCCCACCTCCAAAATACATTCTGATGGATTTGTGTATATGAGGTAATTCTATATGGTGATTAGAGGAACATTCGAGTAGGAAAAGTTACTACTTACCGTTTAGTACTTACTAGAAGCAAACATCAGAGCCGAGATTTCACAGCTATTATGTAGAATGAAGCTAGTCACAAAACAGTTCTCGGGTGAGCACATAGTGAAGGTACCCCAATGGCCACTGACGTACCCTAATATCAAAGCAACATTACCATTAAAAGCCTATTAGGAAGCAGTCCCCATCATCATACAGTTGGGTAAGCCACTGCTTGAGATACTGCCGCCATCTCATATTGGAGCTCAGGTTTGGGTTCTGATTGCTCCAGTTTGACCCAGCTCCTTGGGAATGATGGTGGAAGATAACCAGCCTCTGGTATCCAGTGTGCCCTGCCATCCATGCAGGAGACGCAGATGGAGTTCCTGAATCCTGGCTTCAACCTGGCCCAACCCTAGCCATTACAGCCATGTGTGAAGTCAACCAGTGGATGGATATCTCCTTTCGTCACTCTGCCTTTCAAATAGTTTTTAAAGCCTATTACATGTCCACTTAAAAAAATCTTCAGGGCCCCAGGACCGTGGCCTAGCGGCTAGAATCCTTGCTTTGAACGTGCTGGGATCCCATTTGGGTGCCGGTTCTAATCCCAGCAGCTCCACTTCCCATCCAGCTTCCTGCTTGTGGCCTGGGAAAGCAGTTGAGGACGGCCAAAAGCCTTGGGACCCTGCACCCATGTGGGAGACCTGGAAGAAGTTCCTGGATCCTGGCTTCGGATCAGCATAGCATCGGCCATTGCGCTGACTTGGGGAGTGAATCATTGGACAGAGGATCTTCCTCTCTGTCTCTCCTCCTCTCTGTATATCTGACTTTCCAATAAATAAATAAATCTTTAAAAAGAAAATAAGAAAAATAAAAAAAAAATCTTCAAGTGAATCTTTAAGCCAAGCATCAACACAGGTTGATGTGTTTAATGATTTTGTGAAGATAGCAAAGGATGGAAGTTGAAGTTAAGTTTTACTTGTTCTGGATGATGCCTTGAAAAGAAATCAGGGCCTACATAAGACATCTCCTTCCCCGTTGTGGCTTCTGGGGACATAATAATCCAGGCTGGTGACTTTTAGGGAGCAAGTCTGAAAGCAGAAAGAAAAGGCATTGGCACTTCACAATTCCCAACCTGAGAATGGAACATCATATCAGCCTCTTTAGATCTTTAATTATTTTACAAATAATTCACAATCTTGAGAAATTTTCATTTTGGGGACTGGGGAATGTGTCCAGGAACGGGACAAAGCAGCCTTCTAGGCCCAAAGTGAGGAATCCTTCCACTTTCCTATTCCTTTCAAACAGTAAGTTTAACAAAAGATTGAGGGGTTCAAGAGAATACATTTCATTCATTCACTTGAGATTTGCCCAAATATTTCTTTACTTTGTTACATATCCATTCAGTGAAAGCTTTACATTTGGAGAAACAACAACACCTGAATTCAAAGTGGTTTTTTTTTTTTCTTACCTGGCCTCCAGGAGTTATTCTTTTTTAGATTTACTGAATCCCTGTTTGAGTTTTGCCCCAGCAGCAGGATCCACAGATAATCCTTTGCAAACATAAACAGATTTGTAATTATGTCAAGGCAGGAAATTTCTAAGAGTACAGGAAGAAATGACTGTGAAATTCCCACATTGGATTCAAAAGCCTTAGTTTTAGAGGTTAGCACACACAAATACCCACTCTCCTTCCTGGGCCAAAGAGAGAAAAACAAGAACCATCTCAAGGGTTTCTGCTTTCAACCCCATCCCTTTTCTTTACCCATTCAATCTGCCATCTTAGGTGACCCACCAACTGTACAACAAAATTCTCAATATCCTGTCCTGATATTCAACAAATGCCCTGCAGATTTGCTGTCTCCATGACCCTTTCCCAGCTCTCATGCCACAAAGGGTGTGGTGAGCCTTCAGGAAGCATGAAAGGCCTTCCCTTCAAGGACTACTTGTAAAAACTGTCATCTTTTCTGCAGCACTGTTTAAAAGGCGATGTAGGGCTTAGGGATGGGGCTGCTGTTTACAGCTGGGTGTGACCACGTGATGCAGGAGTATGGGATTCCCAAGGAACTCATTCTTTGTAAAAGACACAGGTTCCCACGGATGTAGAGGCATCCTTCCCAATCAGACAGCCTCTCATAAAGAGGCAAAGAAGACAGAGTCCAAGGTTACAGCAAGAGCCTCAGTGTTCCTTTTATCTAAACACACAGTTAACGTTTGCTAAAGATGCACCAGCTGACGCTATGGTATTTCTTAGAAGTGTTACACAAGTAAATTAGGCACAGGATGGAGTGCAAATGCTGATCCAATTATAAAGTGAGGGGTGGACCTTGTAATGCATGATCCTGGCTCTTGGTTTAAGCCTGGCACAGTCGAGCTGTTGCAGCCATTCAGGAAATGACCTAGCAGATGGAAGATCTTTTCCTGACTCAACCCTGCCCACCTTTTATTTTAACCTTTACAATTTTTTCTTAATAGATTGTTATCTAAAAGAAAAAAAATGTTAACTTGATAAAACCCATTGGTTCTCAAAATTCAAGCAACACCCACACCCACATTGCTATAGAATGCAATTCATTGCATGCAGGCAGAAGGTTTGGATTCCAGAGCCGCATTGTCCTACAGAAAGGCACAGGAAGAGCTGCTTCTTGGCAGTGACTTCCCAGGAAATCAGTGGCTCCTATACAATTTGTACATACTTCCTTGAGAAAATAGCCACAAGGAACTATTGGCTGACCAGGCCATAAGCTCATTTCCCTCAGAAAATTATACCTTTGTGGGGATTCACAAGAGCCAAGTCTTTTCCTGGAGCAATTTCCTAATAATAGATCCATAACCGTCATGTTTATATTTCTGGTCCAAGTGTGTCCGACGCAGACAAAACTTAGGGGACCTGCTCCAGCACTTCCTATCAGCTTGTTAGTCCTGGTATCTTAGTCTCTCTTGGGCATTCCTCACCTCTTATATAGGGATATGCATACACATTGAACTCCTCTTGGTGTGGTGATGACATCAATCCATACCCAAATGCATGCAATTGCTCATGAACAAAAGACTTGTTTATAATGTTAACAATCCACCTAGGTAACTTCAGGAAAAGAGCTGAATGACTTCCTCCATCTGCAGATACCATGTTTTCAAAAGAAACTCAACTCAAAATATGTTAGTTGGAAAAAAAAAAAAACGAACTTGTAAGTGTATACAGTCTGTGATTCTAGGATGATAAAAGCAGTAGAAAAACCTGGAAAAAACATTAATGTTAACTGTAGTCATTTTGGGGTAGTAGAATTATGAATGATTTTCATTTTCATGATATTTTTCTCCCCCATTTCCCAAGATAGTAAGCATGAATTTCTTATTTAGTTTTTTAAAATGCCATTTCTCAAAACAAGATTTTTGTCAGGGCAACTTGGAATGGTCAGGAATAGGAAGTTGCTAGGCCATCATAATGGCTTGACTTCCCCAGATGTAGGTCCCAGAGGACGCAATGCCAGCTGTGCTCTAAGTCTGGCCAAGTCCAAATGCTTTCCCAGCATCCCCTGCCCTCCTGACTCTGCTGTTAGTCTTCGCTCCCACTGTAATTCCTCTCCAAACCCAACTTCACCTGCACTTTTGCCCAACAAGCCTCCTTCAACTTATCTCCACCGGGCAAGCCATGTTCATTTTACAAACTTACTTCTAGGAAGCAGCCACTCTTTCACACTGACATTGCCCTATTATGCCTCTCAAGTAAAGTCCTCTTTTTATTGCATTCATTGCCCTTGGGATCTTTCTATCCCACTGCTAATTATGAGATGTACATGACAGTCTCCTCTCCCAGGACTGGAAGATCCATGAGCACAGAAACCATAACTATCAACCATGTGTTGAATGAACAAATCTTTTGTGTATCAATTTTTGTCAGCATCTTATCATACCTCATAGTCTCTTGTATTGGAGACTCCTCCACCAGCCCTAATGTCTCATAGGATTTTGAGATGGGAGGTACCAAATACTTCTTTTACTCAGGAAAACTCAAGAATAGAGTCGTAGGAAGTTAGCTACAACCTAGATGATCCATAACAGTTGGATTTATATGACACCATCTATGGCCATCAATAAAAAAATAAATGACACCCAAGAGGTCTAAATAAATGATGGTTGATCTAGAAATAGCAAAGCTCAAGAACAAATTTAAAAAGACTCTATATTAGTCTGTTTTATGCCACTACCACAGGATAGAGACTAATTTCTTACCATTCTAAAGGCTAAGAAGTTCAAGGTCAAGAGGTTGATTTACAGTGAGAATCTTCTTGTCATACCATCTGATAGTGAGGGTGACAGGCGAAAGAACTCATGCTCAGGCAAGAAAGGAAGGGGGAGCAGCCCTTTGGGTTTAATCTCGTCTCAAATGTCTAACCTCTCAATACTAGTGCATTGGAGATGACATTTCCAACACATGAACTTCAGAGCACATTTGAACAATAGAACTCTACTAGATGCCTCTGAAATGCATGTCCTTCTCACATGTAAAATACAGTCATTCCATCCCAAAGATCTCTGACTCTTAACTTGGCTCAGTATTAATTTAAAAGTCAAAAGTTCAAAGTCTTGTGTAAATCATATATGAGTGAAACTTGAAGCACAGTTCTTCCGTGAATAAATATCCCTCCAGTTTGGCCCCATGAAATTAAACCATTATCTATTTCCAAATAACAAGTATGGGGTAGGCATAGAAAAAAGCATCCTATTCCAAAAGACAGAAGCCAGAGGAAAGGGTTAAATAATCCCTAGTAAGTCCGAAATTCAAGCAGAAAAATATTATTAGACTTTAATATGCCAAAATAATCTCGTCTAACTTCGTGTCCCACATCCTCGGCACACTGTGGTGGGAGTTGAGCCCCCAACACCTCAGCATACCCTTAGCCTTTATTAGGTTTAGGTACCCAGCGGCTCATATGAGTTAAGGTCCCCTGACTGCAGCTCTCCCAGCCTAGAGTTGTGCTTGGCAGTCATGCGGCCACAACAGCTGTCCCACTGCCACAATTCTCTGTAGCACAGCCTCTGTGGGAGACTCTTTGTGGTGTCCCTGCCATTGGGACAAGTCTTTGCATGGGCCATCAGACTGTCCACAACACTCCTTGAAATCTTGGTGCAAGTTGCCATAAATTCTACAGCTCTTGCATACTAGATGCCTGAAAAATGCACACCACCTGGATAGAGCCAAGATAACATGACCTGTACCTTCTGAAAGGCTGAATTGCACCAGGCCCACCTGCACCATGGCTGGGGTGGCTGAGAGCGCACTGCTGAACATGAGAAGAGCAGAAGTTTGAGGTACAGGGTAGCAAATACTAAGGTTTTATTAGCACCTGTCTGCAAACATTGCCCTTAACATCCTACCTTCACTAGAAAACCTTTGAAATGCCTTTGGGGTCATTTTTCCATTATCTTGATGAACAGAACCTGGCTTCCTCTAAGGCGCATAAATCTCTTTCAAAATGTTTGTCTTAGGGCCAGCATGGTGGCATAGCTCGTTAATCCTCTGTCTGCAAGTGCTGGTATCCCCTATGGGTATCAGTTCATGTCTCTGCTGCTCTACTTCCTATCCAATGTCTTGCTTATGGCCTGGCAAAGCTCAAGTCCTTGGGTACCCAAACCCACATGGAGCACCTGGAGGAATCTCCTGCCTCCTGGCTCAGCTCCACTCAGGCTGCTGCATATCTCTGTCTCTCCTCTCTCTAAAATCTGCCTTTCAAATAAAAATGTATAAATCTTTTTGAAAAATTTTACCAGGTTAAACTCTACACATATTCTCACAAACATATTCTTTAATTCTATATTTATTTGAAAGGCAGAGATACAAGGAAAGGGGAGTGACACAGAGAGAGGAATCTCCCAAATGCTAAGTCAACTTTCCAAATATTGGCAACAGCCAAGGCTGCACTAGGATGAAACTAGAAAGATGAACCCAATCTAGCTTTTCCACATGGGAGACAAGCATTCAGGTAGTTGGGACATCACCTACTGCCTCCTGGGGTGCATGTTAACAGGCAGCTGGAATGCAACTGGAACCAGGATCCAAACCCAGGCATGCTAGTCATGAGTGTGGGTGTCCCAAATAACCACCTTGATTATTCTATAAGTGGCAAGACTGAGGGCTTTCCAAATATTTCTATTCTGCATTCTTTTTAATGATAAATTTTATGTTCAAATACTTTCTCTTTTCTCATTGGATTGCAGGCAATCAAGAGAATCCATGTAATATACCTTGAAGGCTTTTGTGCTAGACATTTTTTCTGCCAGTTATCTTGGTTTGTTGATCTTAAATTTAACTTCCACTAAGTCCTAAGATACAGATATAATAGTCACTGCCAACTTCTTTGCAACTGTGTAACAAGAGTGTCCTTTACTCTAGTTTCCAGTGTCTTACTGCCCATTTCCACTTGCAACCTTACAGATGGCTTCATCGGTCATGCTTTAACCAACATTATGATCATAACCAATTGGGTAACCCCCAAGAAGATTCAGGTGCTATCCACAGCTCATTTTTTTTTTTCTGAACCCTCACCAGAAT